GAGAGAGATTAATTTCATCCTAATGCACAAAGGGTGAGCTAGCTGATATGGAAGAAAAGTATGGCTGGCAGAGACTCTTCGTCTATTGAGAGGGACAAAGATAACCTGCAGGATGTGCTTGGGAGAGGAGAGGTATCAAGAGACTAGAAGCTTAGGGTCTGTGCTCAGGATCTGTGCAGGTGAAAACACAATGTAACGAGATAGCTGTGTGTGTGGCTGGTGAGGGCATCCACAAAGATAGGATTTCAGAGAAGGAAAAAAGAAAGAATGGAAGCCAGGGAGCCACAGCTAGAAAGACAGGACAGAGAAAGGACAATGGAGGGTGCAGATAGGTCACCAGGTGCCAGCAAAGATTTTGAGCTTTATAAGAGGTATGATGTCTGGGCTGTGGAGGTGAACACCTTCAATCCCTGCACTCAGGAGGCAGAGGCAGGGGGATCTCTGTGAGTTCGAGGCCAGCCTGGTCTACAGTGTGAGTTCCAGGCCATTGTCCTGGAATTGTAGTTTGATGCTTCTTGCAGTTGTATCTGTATAGTGATACTGGAGAGCAGAGACACAGTCTGGAATTGTAGATTCCAATTCAGATAAGATCTCATTAGTTCTAGACAAGGTCGTTAGTGGTCCAATGCCTCAAGGATGGAGGGACAGTTTGAACCAAATCTGTGAACTAATAGTATCTGATGAACCCTTATACAGAAGGGCTGATGAAGGAATGGGGTGCATGTTCCTGAGGAACTTGGGGAGATGTTGTATGCAGCCCAATAGCTCAGTGACTGGCTCCCAGTTGCTCCCTGCTGACTAGCATCATCCAGCATGAGCTGTTGGGAAGCTGCCCCTAAGGAGGTTGTGTAGCTAAAGTTTTCTTCAGTCCCGCCCAGCCCCACGGACCCTGCAGCCACTAATAAAATAATCACTCAGAAGCTTATATTAATTAAAGATGTATGGACTATTGGCTCAGGCTTCTTGCTATCTAGTTCTTATATCTTAAATTAACCCATTTCTATAAATCCATACTCTGCCACGTGGCTCATGGCTCACCAGTATCTTTACATCTTACTTCTCCTGGTGGCGGCTAGCAGTGTCTTTTCTCTCTGTCTGTCTCCTTCCTCTTCTCTAGTTAGAATGTCCTGCTTAGCCCTATTCTGCCTCACCATTGGCCAAACAGCTTTATTTATCAACCAATCGGAGCAACATATTTTCACAGCATACAAAAAGACATTCCCCCATCAGGAACACAAGAGTTACAGATGTCATATTTCATCTTTACATTTCTACTGTTGGGAAACGGCAAGTGTGGTTTAGAGAAGCAGTTCATTTTGAGTCTAGCTGACAAGAGCACAGATCCAAATATTCTGCAGAGCTGTTTGGCAATTTGTATCAAAAATCTATTGCCCCAACTGACCTTTAAACCAGCAGTTTCATAGGATGTGCACAAATATCAAGCAATTAAAATCACTATCATGTAATGTTTATATGTTAAAGCAAATATTATTCCAGTATTCACCTATCAAAAATTAAATCAGCCGGGTGATGGTGGCGCACGCCTTTAATCCCAGCACTCAGGAGGCAGAGGCAGGCGGATCTCTGTGAGTTCAAGGCCAGCCTGGGCTACAGAATGAGTTCCAGAAAAGGCTCCAAAGCTACACAGAGAAACCCTGTCTCAAAATAAAAAACAATAAACAAACAAACAAACAAACAAACAAACAAAAAGAAGAAAATGAAATCAATCCATAGCATGT